TGTAAATGTATCTTTCATAGAATTGAAGGACCTCAGAGGTAAGCGATACTGCACTGATAAAGGTTCATGCTAATCATAATATGACCAATATCCTTTCCTGTTCTCTACAACGAGTCACACTCGGATCCATCTATCACTAATTTTTACGTATTTTTTAAAGCATCATATAGTACGCGGCGTTTTGCATTGGCCTGAACCCACGTTAATGTTTACCTTCAAAAATGCCATTTTCTCAGTTAAATTTTACCATCAAGGGTATTTTTTTAACGCATGCCCTTTTCATACTATAGTTTAATTACAAATATAACTTTGTTAGGAATTTTCAGGTATGATTATTCAAAAACATAACGGGCAAGTTGAACGTAATCATAATACATATCCCACTTCTCTGGTGTATAAGTTTCATTGTTTGACTCGTCGTAACAAACATCAAACCCTTAAGGAAACTTCAACAACAAAACTGGTCAAATAAATTAAGAGACATAATCTTGATTTTTCTATGTTTTGCCGTGCGCTCAATTGCAGACGGCTGGGGTTATTAAACGAGCTCTTAGTTAAGACTCGAATACTTCGAAATCAGGCGTGTAATTCAAACAAAATTTATCTTCCACTTGATTCCAATGTTAGTACTGTCATAGCAGTTTAATTTATTGTTTTAAAAAAAATCGTAGGCCGAATAAAGAGATCGGGAATGAAGCTCCTTAAAGTGATCATGCTTGTGGTGGCTGCAATAATATCTGGTAAATAACTATTTTCCTATCATTCGGTTTCCTCTTTGGGAAGCACTTCGAACTTATTTCTTTACGAGGACGATTAAAATAGATCCACGTTTGTTTCTGAATACGTTTGACCGTAAACCGTTAGGAGTCAATTCCCTCGGCGCTCTTCTTCCTCCTGTTCCTTTCTAACCAATCCGTTTGGGAAACCAGATCATCAAACTTTTAGCCTCATTTTGTGTTTGAAATAAAGGCCGCCATCCTTTGTGGAATTCAAAATGGCGGCGCACATGTTGATTTTTTTCAGGCTTACGTCGATCTAAAAAGCTGAAAATCTCGAAACTTCAAAATTTTAACTTCTAACATCAAATAGCTAACCGCGGTTTGACGTTTGCAGTTTACACATCAAACGTTGATCTAAATCTCTGTAACTGCCTACCACAGTACTGAGATTGCCAAATCTATTTTGCAACTTATAAAGAATTGTAACTAGAATTTTTTATTGTCAAATTTATCAGTCTTAAATATAGCGGGGAGATGATTTCACGTTATGTTTTGCAAAAGTGGGCCAAGAAACCTAAAAAGTTTATTTCATACCTTAATAACTATTGCCCTGCTCACTAAATCTTTGGTTCAGTGATCTTCCCTTTACCGTTTGCGCGAATATTTTGTAAATGTGACTGCTATGTGTGCCCTTCTTTAAAGCTAAAAGCCTCTAACATGACTTATACTATGCCTCAGCACACTATGTTTCGAGCAGGTGTAGTGGCACAAACTATATGTCTGATCCTAACGACTATAACAAGAGAATTTATGCACCCTTCGTTGGTGATACGGACTGGGCAGCTTGTTTCGTGGCAACAAATCCTAATGCAGCTGAAAACGACCTGCTATGTCCTCACAATTTCAAGAGAATAAAAGACGAAAACCATGACTGCAAAGATAGGTTCAAAAATGGTGCGAGCACAACGCTAAAAAGGATTTGCTGCCTGATAGAACCAACAGCCTCAATGGAGGTAAAAAATTATATTTAGTTGGATCAATTCATGTAGGGGAAGCATGCGTACGAAATTATAACGTTTTCATCCTGTCAATCAGAAGTGAATATGATTGCACAGCATAAGGCATTTAAGACTCCACAGAGTGATCCACCTCGTCGAAAATCCCTTAATTTTGATAGGAATTCAGATGGATGTATTGAAGAAAAACTGACATGGCCTCCTGAGGCATATTTCTTACATTAAAACACTTCATGTCATTATCATTAGTAGTAGTGGTATCATTATCCTTGTCACTATCATTGTCATTATCGTTAATAATTTTTTTGTTTTGAATATCAATCATATCAAAGGTTTCCATTACCGATAATATTATATCAAAGGTGCCACAGAATTTGAATTTACCCAATGCAAACCGATATAAAGAAAGCACTTTATTCGGAGAAGTCATATTTGATATTGTTTCTTTGATCACTTCCGACATCGGACCAGTTTTTAACCTTTCTAGCTAGCTCAGGAGTGTCTATTTTGGGTAAGAAAATGAATTGTTGGACCACCTATTGATGCTGTTGCTTTTTCTGTTCTTCAGGTCCTCAATGCTCCATGCTTAAAAGGATTTTCTTCATGATTTAGATAATGTGAAACAATTAAAATTATTTGTTTATTACATTGCAAATCTTGATTGACGTCTATCGCTTCAACTTTTGTGCGTGTATAAATATAAGTTATGCGGGTCAAAGTCAGTATCTGAGCAACTATGCACCTAACCTTCCCGTAACCCAACCTTTACCCTCTCTCGTTGTCAGTTTGACTGCTGTTGAGTTAGGGAAGGGAGAGGTAGGCACGCATTTGTCCAGATACTGACATTGATCCCAGAAAATCTCAGAAAATGAAGGCTAATAGGAAAAAGAAGCGTGAGCGTTTTCCAAGCTTCTGCAACGCTGCTGGTAATCAAATTACGAAGTCACCTGTTTTTCAATTTGATGCAAACTTTCCCCAAAAACAAACTTCTGAAATTTTCAGAAGGGTAATGTGATGTAATCGAAACTCTACTGAACATTGGTTGGTTCGATACACTATTTTCTAAAATGACACCTCACAAATAAGCCTTTCCCACGCATTGAGGTTATGATGGGATAAGAAGGTTTTACACAATCCATGGCAAGTTTCAAAAAAGGCAAACTTCTCTGCATTTCTTTTCCCCGCCCATTTTGATATTCTTCTCAATGTTTCCTTTTGCCCTTTGTATTTGACATCACTCCTGGTTTGTTAAATGAGATACTAATCCATCCTGGCTAAGTTGCCATTAATGATAAATAGAATGTGGTAACATGACTCACTTTTCAGTTATTGTTCTCCTTTTCACACTATCTTTCTTAAAAATACTAAAGAGATTTAACAAAATAAAGGGATCCTAAGGAATCAGCAGCACCATATCGCAGAAAATTTCTATGCAGTTTCTTAACTATTAACAAGGGCCTAGGGCGTCTCCGGGATTTTTCAAAGGGGGGAGGGGGGAAGTGGGCATACTGTGTCAAACAGGGGGTTCTCACCAGTTTTCGCCACCTGAATATTTTAGGTTGTTTAAAAAATGGCTTACAAAGAGTGGGGGGGGGGGGTCCCTGACACTCCAGGAACCCCCTCCCCCCCCAGCTAGGCCCTTGATTAGTGAAGCGTTGAGTAGGAGTAAAACGCCATAAGAATCCGCTGGAATAGCTGACATTTCGGGGGCTGTCTGCTATTATCGATAGTTTCGAAGTCAAAGAAAAACTATAACGTTCGCTTATCAAAATCGTATGCCGACAGTTTCTTACTTACCTGTTACATTTCATTGATTTACAGATTTATTATCTAATTTTCTTCTCGATCATTTGGCCAAAAAGTGAGCTGCAACGTAAAGCTTGAAATTCACCCCTATCATTTAGAACCATGTTTGTGTTTGAAAGCCATCCCTGCGTAAAACCTTTTTCAACAAATAGCTATTGTATTAAATCACCACAAACAAAAAAATGCATATAATTACCACGTGTAACCTGGTACCAATTTTCGCCTTTATCTTTATGTGTCAAATCATTGAAGCGATTACGTTTGAAATTTACTTAGTTGAGAAAATTTCAGATGGGATATATTGTTACTTCTTTTATTCCAGCTAAAGGGGCACTTCTGCGACCAAGACTACCTGTTGATGTAAGCTGAAATTAATGGTCAAAACCCCAAAAATAACGGATTGTTTGAATGGGGAAAATCGTTCAGTGCTTTTATTTCATTTAGGTTTATATCTGTCGTCTTGCCTGATACTTGCTCGCACTTGTTCTCTCCCAAGCAATATAAAAGAACGTAAGTTTTTTAGTTCAGATTTCTAATCAATATCCATACTTCAGTCAACGTTACCTAAAATGTCATTTTACCCCCCAAAACTCTGTTACACTTGCATTTTATAGATATAGACTTGTAAAAGCCAAAGATTCGCTTGTATATCTGCAAACATTACATCTAAGGTGGAGTTCAGCAAAAAATTATTTTCATTGTCAATAATCCAATGTTAATAAGTATCGAATGGGGCTACTTTGCTTTCTATTACTTATTAAATTTTTTGGGAAGCGTGCCTCGTACAGTTTTGTCATTTGAGCTTAAAACCCACGAGTACATCACCATGAATTCGTAAATTTTGGTTACCATGTAGCGTGCTAAGAATTGGCTAGTAAAAGACTTCAATCATCACATAAAAAGTTCACTTTTATTCCATGGAAAATTTCTGTTGTTCACTCATCCTAAGGCTTAATAAGTTATTAAGAACTTTCAAATGTTCCCCTCTCAAACCGAAATGAGAAAAATATGATCGATGCTAAAATATTACCTTCTCATATAACAAAAAATTGGTGTTTTGATCCTCCCATGTACTCTGTTCATTCCAGAATCGCCAGTGTCCTTGTGTCATACACAGCATGAAGTTTTTAGCTTTTGCAGTTGTCCTTCTCTCGATGGCACTATTAGGTAAGAAGACAAGCTCAATTTGATTTGAAAAATTAAAAAAAAAATTAATTATCTTAAGCTTACTTATTTAAAATTCTACTGGACTTATTGTGAAGGAAAATCCACCCCTTTGAGAGGGCGCCAAGTTGCAGACCAAGGAAAATATGGACGATCTTAATAATCGAGCCAAAAAGTGTAATCTTACACTTCGTACTTAAAACTATAGCAATTACATCTCGCACACGTGCGAACCGCTGATGAACGCGCAACCAGTTATAAGCTCTTAATTGCTGACGTTTTTTTTTTCTTTTAATCCTAGCATTTCCAGCACGCGGTGACTGCGGGACACAAATTTACACCAAATGGGCTACATGTGTGAAAACATCATGTCCTCCCGATTCCTTGCCTCTTCAGGTCAATGGTAAAACTTGTCCACCTGACCACGTTTGCTGCCTTATGCGACCCAAAATAAATTTCAAGGTAACTTTCAGATCGATTTTTTTTGCAATACGTAGTTTAAGTTTTAGCTTAGATTGGAAGTATCGTAATGTTCTGAAACAAACTTAATTCATTCCGCAAGGACTCTTACCATAAATTTTATTTACTTTCAAGTTTAATGAGAGATGAGTCTAATGAGTTTAATTTCTCATATACGTTGTTTCATTTTTTTGTTCATCAGACGGTTGAATCACATTGTGACCATTAATCCGATGAAGGAAAAGGCAAATTCTTCGTTCTTAATGAGACATTTGTTTCAGTAATTACAGCATAATGCGTGTAACTTCGATCTCCTGATTTCTCTAAATAAAATGGGAATAAAATCGCCTTTGACAGGAACGTCGCGAGTGACTTATTCAGAATTATGGTGTCCTGAGTTTGTTTTGTTTTTACATGATTGAACTCCCTCACTGTAAGCACTTGAGTGTGTTACGCTTTTTTCGTTAAGTAATTTGCAATAGTATATCCGTCCATCTTCATTCCTATAAGAAAGTGCCTTCAAATTGAATTTGATTTGACATTAACCAGAGGTGTGATATGCCTGACCATGAGGTAGATTGACATGGAATTATATAAAAAACCCAAAAAGGTGATTATTTTTGCCTGGGAACATGAAATTTTAAGATGCCTAAGCCTTTCCACGTCTTTCGACAGCTCCTTAAACCTGTTAGTTTGTTGTGGATGGAAAGGGTTTCTCCGTGTTCTGTTCCACTCCTTTATTTAATCACGGAGCTGCTACATAAGAAAAAAAAAAAGCAAAACACTGCACGGTTGCTGAAGAAGTTTGGTAAGGGAGATAAAGAGCACTGGTAGTATTTTTTGCTGCTACAGCGAGATTTGATGCTCAGCAACCCCTGAGGCCCTTTCATAGCTAAAAGTTGTCTCTGTCTATTAAGGAAGATTAGCCAAGTATAGAAAGCAGAATCTACTCTGCATATAATCATAGCCACCCGCTGTCCCTTTTTGCTCTTGGCTATTGGATACCTTGAGGCAGAATGCTAGAAAGCGAAACTTTTGCGTAATAGAAGGATGAAAGAAACTGCAGAGTTCAGCGTATTTGAATGGCTTTTGGAATGTAAACGACTATATTTACATCATGAAAGAGTTCCGCTGTCTTAAATAGCGAAAATGAGCTTAAATGAAGTGCAAAAACCTTTCGACGAGCACTTGATCAATGCACGCTGTTTTTTCGGACCTTCTCTCGGGAAAGAACATTGGCATAGCGTCAAGTTCTCATTGTATCGATCCTTCATGTCATTAGTCCCTTGCAAACTCAGTCCAGTTTAAATTTAGCCTTACATCTTAACAACAGAAGTTAACAATAGAAGTCTTTCATCCAGAACGTTAATTGCGACAAGATTGAAGCACTGGATCACGTTCTTTCAAATGCAAACAAGGCACACCTAGTGGAATGTGTTGCTTCTTTACTCCCAGTATGCAAATCTCAACTGAGACCAGCGAAAATTCTACTTAGTTCTTCAGTTGTTCTTCAAGTTTCCTTTTTCAAGAGAGCGATAGAGCCAACCTAGCTTGTGTTGTTGAATATGTCATCGCAGAAGTACAAGGTTAAAAGGTAAGTTAATTCTACTAATCCCGTTTGCAAGCTCGACAAAGCGATAAATAACAACCACAGTCAAACTTGGTACAGCACGAGTTCTCTCGGTATGTAGAGATTTACGAGCTAAGACAGGGTGAGCTAAACAGGAATAATCGAAAGTTATTCCGATGAAATTTGTCTACTTATGCATTAAGCAACAAGTTTGCCAATTTTACTTATGCAAGAAAAATATTGATGCAAGGCTATCAATGAATAGATATATCACAATAGCATCGATACACAAGTTATCACAGGACTTTTAAATTGATCTGAGAGCTTCTGAGCCGTGGTGTTTAGATAAATGCAGTTGAATTAAAGACTTATCCAGATCACTCGTCATCAGCAGTCGTTCATAAGAACATGGAGCACAGCTGTTGTTTAAGATGTTTCGCTGTGTTTGTATGTTATTCTTTATCAATAGAAAATCTCATTGATCTGTAGAAAGACAAAGAGAGTTTGAGAAATTAACTTAGCCTGAAAACGGCCTTTGAACGAGGACCGACAGCACGTTCTTGTTACTTTCCCATCGATATGGGTCATGCTGATAATTTTCATAGCCCTATCACTCAGAAACCTGTTCGATCCTGACTTTTCTCAATTAGTATTTATTATTATGCTGCTCTCTGTCCGCTGTTTTCTCGAAGAGCTTTTAATAGGGTGAAGGTCACCAAGACTTGTACAAAGTCCGGAAAAGAGGAGGAATCTGTTCACAGTTGTTTGCCATTGTTAATCGAATTAAGTTTTAAACTCTCAAAAGATATGTCTTCATTTTTGACCAAAATTGAGCGAAGACTTAAAACGATTGGCTTACCGCATGCAAAAAGGGAAACCTCAACATACTGGGAACTATTCAATTAAACAAAATATACTTGGGTTGGAATTTATAAACATTAGATGCATCGATAGTCAGTACTCTTATTATTATTCTTAAGGTAAGTGCTATTTGAAGTTCAAAAAGTGATAGTATACTACAACAACTGGTTTTGTAGACACTAATTTGCGGGTATCAAAGGTATGTTAGACAGCCGAGCAAAGGTTCCAGGGTTTTCCAAAAGCTAAATGTTCAATGGATTGGAAAAAAAAATTGTAATCCTAATGAACAGATCGCACAATGCCTTCATACCTCTACCTAATGCAACCACGATTTTATAATAATCTTCCTCAGAAAAATTATTATAAGAAGAAGGACAACTGCATTTGTAGTCGATCGCAAGTAACTAACTTTTCCTAGAAAATCTAGTTTAGCATAATTAATGAGAAAAACTTGGTACAAACCGCAGAATAATTACGGAAAGGTACTTTATTCCAAATATCATCACGCGACTTAATAAACTCTGCGACTGATGCCAAAAGGAGATTGGAACTGAGACGATCAACCATTCTATCAAATTGTTTGAAGTTTATCAATTAAAAATAATTATCAGCTCACTTGCAGAAAGAGCCAATTTGACTGCCGCTTAACTTTTTGATTGCCTTTTTTAAAGTCTGCATGAGTAATTTAATTACGTTTGGGAAATACGTCTACTCAGTTGCCTGCTCTTGCTGTTTTGCTTCAGCTCTCTTCCGTTTTCGTTGGTGTACTTTCTCTTTCGGAAAATTTCACTCTAATTCACGCGAGTTGTTGCCCATAATGACGTAATGATTTACAACAAATTTCATCTGTAAGTTAAAACAGGGGCATCTTCCTCCCTCCTCTTTGAGAAAAAGTGCTATTTCATCTGGATCCTTTGACTTTATGTACTTACTGGATATCTATCTCCACTGTCTTCAAACGCTAAAGCCTTGATTCGTAAATCCATGCTCTAAATCATTAGCTAGCTGACAGATACAGCTAACGAGCTCGGATAATAATGTGAACTCTAACCCTAAATTTTGCTTCTTTCGACAGTGCTGAGCAATTTGCCGAAGAATTCAAAGGAAAAGTGGCGGCATTTAGCCGAACACTACAAGGCCTAGAGGATAGAGCTAAGAAATGTGAATCTTTAAAGTCTCTAGTGAGTAGATTTCGCTGTGACTTGTTAACACACAGCAATTGTTGTTGTCTTTAGGGCCTTTATGTTAGACTACTTGTTCAAATCTCTTTTTTTAGGAGAAGGGATCCACCAAAACAATTGCTTACGAGGATGGAGACAAAAAGTACATGCTTGATTGGCAGCCCTATTTGAATGACTGCAAAAGAAGATTGTCGAGGTATGAATCTTCAAAACTGTAAACAGCCAATTTAAATGGCTTTCATTATTGCCCGTGTTTCGTGGACTTTCAGCGACCCCTCTACCAATTGAAACTGTTTTGACAACTGCTCAGTATAAAAATTAGTATCTCCCTAAGTTACTACTTATTTATTCACACTGACGTCATTATTTTTAGCATTAGGGTTTCCGATGTAATGCAACCACTTATACCAGAAGTAGGTGTGCTTCTTGACTGAGCCAAAAAAGTATTTGAAAAAATTTTTCAAAACGAAAGTGTTACTTAGGTCCCTTGATAGCTGTGGGCATAGATGATCGAGCTAGTAAATCCTTCTAATGTCGTAATGTCGGAGTTGACTGCAGTTGGTGGGGGTGCATTCAGAACTTTATCAGCATTTACTTTATCCAGTATATAATTATTATTGGTCGGTGAAAGACACGATTCTTAAATAGTTTATTAAGCTGTTTGAAAAGTTTGAAAAAGTGCTTTGAACTTCTGGAAAGAAATTCATACTTGTCACATAGCAGGGTTCACTTTAATAACCGGAAGTGCCCATTCGAGTTCCTGAAAAACGCGACCTCACATGGACAAGTGTCAAATAAAACAGCAAACGAGTCGCCTCTCTTATCTTCAATATTATCTTTTAAAGATCTTTAGAGAAATTGAAGGAGATCCAGAATCATAGAAAACAGAGAAAAATTTCTTTTATTGGCTCCATCAAAGAGGCTCTTCCTTCCTGGTCCAAAAAGAAAAATCCTAAACATCTTTTGCTTTATCAGCTGATAAATGACACAGAAGATTATCAGGTAAGCAAACTCTGACCAGCAGTATCACTGATTTCTAAAATATATAACATCAAAATGCAGGGGAAAATAGGAAATTAGTGGTTAGGTTTTATCACATATTCTGATCCTTGAGGTAAATGTCTTTCGTCATGATTGTAATGATGAGCGTACGATGCGGTGATTCAAACCTTTTTATTGTATGGTTGACAATATATTGGTACGGTTCGAAATCAATTGGTCCGTCCGTACGTCTTCACCATTTAGCAGCGAACTAGTTAATTAGTCTTAGTGACGTAACGCTTAATGTGCTTAATTACACTTTACAATTATCGATAATAGTTATTTAGCGATACAATGATTTCTGACCATCTTCATTCCTTAATCAACCATATATCTTTCACATACTCGTTTTGTTCCTTTCATATTCTGATTATCATTTCAGTTTAATGTTCAGGCAACGACCACATATAAAGATGTCATATTATCATAGCGACATTACCTCCATGTTTTCGTGTTGAATACTACATGTACTCAGATGCATTTCATAATAGCTTGAGCCGTTGGATAGTGCACTTTACGTAAGAAGAACAAAGTGTCGCAACTGACAACGGATGGTAAAATGCGTGAGCGCTTATCCCTTCTTTAAAACAGTGACCAACGTGTCAGTGGCACATTACTTAAAAACGTTTCAACGCTTCGGAATATTCGTTCATTCGAAACCATTGTTATTACAAACAAAATCAGGCTTGAGGTTTCTTGAAATATGT